AGTGGATGATGTTGTTTCTTCTTGTTGTGCTTTATAAAGCGGACTAAGCGGGTAATTAGCTTATGAAATAAACGAGAGCGGCGAGGAGGATCCATCATATATATAGCTCTAGTTGGGCTCTCATAAGCGCGCGAGACGCTCTACAGGAGCAAGAACTGGCTTGATGATATTCGAGGGAATGTAAGTTGAACGTACCAGAGTTTTAAAGCAGCGGATTGAACTGCGGGTATCAAATAGAGGGAAGAGGCTTTGTCGCGTGAGTGAAAGGGCAATGGATGGGATGTTCAAGAGGAAACAAAGCACAAGTGCGTCGTTCTTTCTATAGAGGAGAGCCCAGCGCAAGGTTAGTGAATCCAAATCTGCAGAGGAACAAGCATGCGCAACAAAGAAGCAACTGCCAAAATAAGGAAGCAGGGCAGGGTAAGGTAAGAGCAGGCAAGGGACTCTATTTGTTCCCAGATCCTTGTTTGTTTGGTTTGGATGAGGGACGATCAAATAGTCCTGTTCGTTTTTTTGGAGGGGAGAAGACTGAAAGTCAACAAGCGCCCGTCACCTGATTTGCAGGGGTTGAAATTGAAGTGCCTAAGATGACGGCGGGACAGAACAGAATATGGGGTCTGATTTTCAGGGACCTTACTTACAGTTTGCTTGTCTATATGAGAAATTGATAGTGCAGTGCAGGTGTTTGTCGAATTGGGAAAGACAAGAGTTATATCGAGAGTTAAATGGGTTTAGATGCTGTGCCACAGACCCTCCAAAATGGACGTTCCTGGCTTATGACTCTTGTGGTGTGTTGTCATTCAAGTGGCCCGGTTCTCTTTATTGACGCCCAATCTGCGCCATTGCCCCAGAAACAGACTGCAGCCACACCAACGTCAAAATGCATGAAGATCAACAACACCTACAGCCAAGAGACGGTTCAGAATTAATTATGGGACAAATCACTTTCAATAATTAAGAATTACTTCCATATTATTTCTAGCACCAAATCACCAGCCACAAATCTGTCTTTTTAGAAAGAATATTCCCTTCAGATTGAGAAGAACAGATGTCACGCGCAAGGGACTGCTCTTACATTCCAACTGTAGCTGCAAGCCTTCAGCTCAACCGCAGGGTCAAAGCTCCAACGCCATGAAATGTTCCTTACATTTGATCAAAACATTCAATCTGCCCTACTGAAGTTCGCCTTGCTTTTCATTGCGTACTGATGAACCTTCTAGTAAGCTATTGACGTGTCATGCGGCTATAAACTAAAGACTGACGTGCGTTGGTGTGCTATCCACATTCTTCAACAAGCTTGGACAAGGAATCCAAGACATATTTGAAGAGGGTAAGTCTGGACATGGCAAGCCCTCAAAAGGGCACTAGAAGGCCCCGTAACTCGATAGAGAAATGTGATTGATGGGGTTTAATGTTATTCTTAAAGTTGAGCGGCTAGTGTCTACAGATGCTTAAGCAGATGCTCACTTCCAGATCTTGTTAAAAAGGCAGAGTTTACATCAAGTCACTTCAGGTTGGCTGATCAATGTATAATTAGATCTCAAAGAGACTCCTGAATGGTTCTGTCATTTCTTCTCTGCGTATTTCTACCAGGAGCCTTGAACATCAGAACCCAGTGTACCATGCCATTCGTCAAGTCTCTCACGCATCTAGCCTTATTGTTGTGGAAATCTCATCACGTGCTGATAAGATAACGCTCTCCAACATCGTCATGCCCAAGCTTCATTTATTTCTACGGCTGTCGCGTCGCAAGTCTTGCTTCCCATGCTTCAAGTGCGCTTTCGCACGTGAAACTCACAAACAGTATACAGAAAGGCACTAGATGCGCTCTCAATATGAACGGCTCATCGCGCCCGTCCTTTGACCCCTCGCGCATCACCAAAGCGGCCGCAGCCGAATATTCTTCATCAGCCTCCGAATCTGAAGACGAGCATCTTGTGCCAGGACTTGATGCCGACAATGACTTCGGTGACTTCAACCCCCGGAAGAGGCGTCGTGTCGGTGGTAATAACAAGGAGAAGGCTGCGCTGGGCATCTTTGGCTCCGATAGTGAAGACGATGGTCCTGCTAGAAAGTGGAAGAGGACAACCTTGAGAAATAAAGGCATGAACTTTGTGTCAACAGGCGCAGCAAGCGATAAGGAAGACGGCGATGAAGATTCCGACGATAACCGGCCGATGTTGGGAAGCGCAATGGAACAGGACGAGGAGGATGAAGAGGAGGATGAGGGCAATGCTGGAGTAGGACTAGGCTTCGGAGGTGTTGCACGCGGTTTTGCACAGAACGATAAACAAAACTCGAGTCGAAGCGCAAGTGCTGAAGCAACATCCCGACCACCATTTCGAACCCGATTCGATGGCAAGAACCCTCTCGGCATGGGTTTTGTCCCATCATCAGCAAACGATCCTGTTCTCAAGAACCCGCGCGACGAGGGCTCTCCGACGCCACGCAATAAGCCACAACCGAGTGCCTTTGGCGCCAAGGGGAAGACAAACCCCAAGTCCTTCGGTGCCCGAATGATGGCAAAGATGGGCTACCAAGAGGGACAAGGTCTTGGTAAGGAAGGCCAGGGCAGAAATGTCATTATCGAAGCGAACCTCCGACCGCAGGGTATTGGTCTCGGTGCTGTGAAGGAGAAGTCTGAACAAGAACGAAAGGAAGAAAAGCGACAGGCAAAGCTACGAGGCGAAGAGGTTATAGATTCGGACGAAGAGGAAAAGAAGAAACGAAAGAAAGCAAAGAAGAAGTCCTTGGGAGCTGCGTTTGACAGTGCTACAAGTACACCAAGACGACAGAAACCGAAGTACCTTACGGCAGAGGAGCTCAAGGCTGCGGCACCCGGTCTTCATATCCCCGATGCATTTGCCCCCATTCTCGATATGACAGGGCCGGGAAGTAAGATGCTCACATCTACGAGTGGCATCATGACACCGACGACAGGAACTGCCACGCCAGAGTCGACAGAAGTGATAGAGGCAAGGAAACTTGTCAAAAGAGCGCAAGCAGACTTGTTAGCCTTTTCTGACGAATGGAAGAGCTTGCAAGAGAGGAAGACGTGGATAGACCTCGAGCTCAAGGAAAAGGAACAGGAGATGGACGATTTACGGTCGGATTTCGAGAGGTTACAGGTCTTTTCTGAGTTGGTCAGCGGAGAGCTTGCAACAGCCGACTGGGATCAAATTATCGGGTGCTTGAAGAAGGCCCTCGAACTCAAAGCTACGACATCAGAGATTGCAGACATTGCTGTTGCAGCTATCCATCCTTTCCTTCGAGAAGGAGACTGGGATCTCTTGGAAGAACCAACACGCTTCGCTTCAGATCTCAAAGAACTAAAATCACTACTCATGCCATCGGCAACAAATGGCAAGTCTGTCGGGAAATGGGATTCTTCGGCAGCAGTCAATACGGACGACATCTACCGCCGTCATCACAAATCCACAACGCCGTACGAAAGCATGATGTACAAGAATTGGCTACCCAAAGCACTCGCGGCTGTTCGGTCCTGGGATGTCTTTGAACCAGAGAAAATGCTTAGCGTCATGGAGGCCTGGGATGACCTCCTACCATCGTTTGTCCGCGTGCAGTTCATCGACAACATCGCCCGGAAGTTGGAAACAGCAGTATCAGACTGGAATCCCAAGAACAGGCGCCAGCACCACAGTCTACCGCACATATGGCTCTTCCCTTGGCTTCAATACCTTCCCTCGTACCATCTCGACCCCAAGGGAACGGGCCTGGTAGCAGACGTCAAGAGAAAGTTCAGACAACTCATCGACGTATGGGATTTCAAGGAGGGTCGCTTACCCGGTCTTACCAAATGGGAACGCATTCTCGGCGATCAATGGCGACCACTGGTAATGTCCCACGTCCTCCCGTCAATGGGCAAATATCTCCAGCGAAACTTCGCAGTCGAGCCAGCAGATCAGGAACCGAGTCTTCCTGTGCTCAGGGGTATTCTGAAATGGACGCCCACGCTCGGCCGAAGGGTTATTGCCGAGGTGCTGATACAGCACTTGTTCCCCAAGTGGCACAAGACGCTGACGGAGTGGCTGTCGCTTGACGAGGTTGACTTGGGCGAGGTGGCGGATTGGTATGCTTGGTGGAGGGGGTTGTTGCCGGAGGATGTTATGGAGGTCAAGGGTGTGAAGGCGGAGTTTGATACGGGGTTGAAGGTCATGGCGAGGGCGGTGGCAGGGGCGTGATGAGTTGGACGGAGATACGCAGATGGAGTGTCTCGGCTGAACGGCGATAATGTAGCGTGGTATTATATATTTGAATAGGGGTTTATAGAAATGAATCATATGGCCATCTGGGTAGATGCGTCACGTTGTCGGTTGTGTCTCAACCATGATTTTCCTCAGCTTCGGTTGTTCCGTGACTGTGAGGATCTTTGTTAATTGTCTGATGCCCCTAAAGCAGCACTTGCTGGTCAGGGATCTTGACCTAGTTTCCAAGGAAGCTCAGGGGTGATCGTTATGTATCGGATCCCTCTGTGAAGTGACCCTACGAACAGAGATGTAGTGATCTTAATGCCCGTATCTCCCTTGTTCATATTCTGACCTGATATAAGAAAGTCTAAAGACTGCAGCTTTTCCATCTCCAACACGATGATCTATCACATAAAGAGAATTATGTACGAGTTCATAAGCGTGGCTGTCTCAATTGCCACTCGTTCTCGAGGGTCTTCATCACAAGACGCTTTCCGCATTAGCAATACAATATTTGGTGTGACATTCAGAAGATTTAGTTTCAGATTTAGACAGATCTTCATTAAAATATCCGTTATAAGATATTGTTCTTCCTGTCGGTTGGTAGAGATTAATGTGCAAGTTGAATCAAAGACATTGAGTTGCAGAATGGTGCACAGGGTCCTAAAGACTCAGAAATTCAGATCGCCAACTCCGAAGACAGAAGAATAATATGATACCAAAATCCTATAAGAAGTAGCTTTTCTCGCTCTTTTGGTAGTCACCATCCTCATCGCACTCCTCTCGTTCAAGATGCATTATCTGAAGCTCCTCCTCGTTCTCCTGCCTGTAATCATCGCTGCTCCAACTGTGACAGACGATGATGATATTATCGAAGGCGCCTACATCGTCACTTTGAAACAGAAACTTGACGAGCAGAAAGTCGAGCAGCACATCGATTGGGTTGACGGCATCCATAACGGAAGTGTTTTCCGTCGTGCTGACGATGGTGTCAAAGTGGTCTGGAATGAGACGAACTATAAGGGTTACTCTGGAGACTTTGATAAGCAGACTATCAAGGAGATTAAGAAGAGTAAAGATGTAAGTCACACCCTATTGCTTCTGATTCTTGATACTGATTTTGCCAGGTCGTTGCAGTTGAGCCTGTTCGCAAGATCAATCTTTACGAGACTGTCACTCAGCAGAAATCGACTTGGGGTCTTGGCTCTATCTCGCATCGCACTCCTCATTTCAACGATTACATTTATGATTCATCTGCTGGAGCTGGAACGTATGCGTATGTTGTTGATACTGGTATCAACATCGCGCATGACGAGTTCCAGGGCCGGGCGGCTTTGGGTTACAATGCTTATCCTGGTACTGAGTTTGTCGATGCTAATGGTCACGGGACGCATTGTGCTGGTACTATTGCTGGCAAAGAGTACGGCGTGGCCAAGAGAGCAAACTTGATTGCAGTTAAGGTGTTTCACTTAGGCAGTGTAAGTCTTTCACTCTCAGATCTTTAGTCCTGCTGACAGTTACAGTCTCGGACTGATATCGTGCTTGATGGGTACAACTGGGCCGTGACCAACATCACCAATACTCCAGGTCGCAAAGAACAGGCTGTCATATCCATGTCCCTCGGAGGTGGTCGCTCAGACGCCTTCAACGCCGCCGTCCAAGCTGCCTACAGCGCCGGAATCCATACCGTGGTCGCAGCAGGAAACGATAACGCCGACGCTTACAACTACTCACCCGCCTCGGCCCCCAACGCCACGACTGTGGGAGCAATCGACATCAACAATAACCGCGCCGGATTCTCCAATTACGGCGAGCTTGTTGATTTGTTCGCGCCGGGCGTGAACATCAAGAGTGCTTGGAATACGGCCAACAGTGCTACCAATACCATCAGTGGTACCAGTATGGCATGTCCTCATGTTGCGGGTTTGTCATTGTATCTAAGAGCCAAGGAGGGCTTGACTACACCTGAGAGTGTCGCGAGGAGATTGAAAGATTTGGCGACGACTGGTGTTGTTCAGAACGTTGGCAGTGGCAGTCCGAATTTGTTGGCTTACAATGGCGCTCCGCCGAGTTAGATCGAGGAGGTGTGGTTTGGTGTTTGAGATGGTGAAAGACATAAACGATTGGGGTATCATAGGACACTCGTTCATTTCTTAGATACATTCGTTTAAGTCTCTATGCTTTAGACATGTTTTTCTGTTAATATTTATACAATTCGTCAATGAATCATTCATCGTCACGAGAGATATAGGGTAAGCGAACAGCGACGGTCACCATCATCAGAAAACTAAAAAGCCATGTGATTCACTGTTTCATGCTTTGCTCGATTAGTGTTCAAGCTGTGTCTTCATTCCAAGCCCATCAATTGGCCGGATTATCAAGCCACGCAGAATCAAATGAGGGTGTCGATGTCAATGGTGCAAGCACAGAAAACGTGGCAGGGCAGGGTTGGGATGATGAAAGAGGAAAAGAGGAGGTCCGTGATGAGATTGCCGGTTCCGGGGGGGGGATCTTATAGCTCGTAGTAAATGTCACCCAATGTCCAGTAGAGAAAATGATTGATGAACCTGTGTAACAGTATGAGCATGTTGTATAACCCACTGAATGAGTTGAACTGTGAGATTAGCTGCTGTCATCATGCAGCGTAAATTACGTTCAGATCCTTCTGCTTCTGTTCGTGGCGTTGCCCCCTTTTCCTGTTTTGATTCGAGGCCTGCTTCTCCACATAAGCCAGACGCATACATCGTATGGACATGGTATTGGTAGAAACAACAAACAATAAACACAAGACAATAATGTAATCGGATAAACAATTGTTGGTTCAGATAGAGAGAGTATCGTATATCAATTTGATCACTGGAAAAAGACGCTTCTGCATGCCCAAATGTCACCCACCATCAGGTTCATCAATTCAGCCGCTGCAGCCGCCACAAACAATGGATGGAATCAATTCCCATGTGCTGAGTGTCGCGTGCGTGTGAACCTGGTCTTATCTCGGTATGGATTTTCAGCTTAGCCTCTAGCCTCTAGCCCTGGCCTGGCTTGTGCTGTGCAGATTATCGTTGGCGCTCTTTGCCGCTGCCGCTGCCGCTCGCTAAACCACTGGAGGTCCTTCTGTGCTCAGCGGTCGGCCACCTACTGTTTGCCCGCTTGTGATTGTGCCCGTGCCCTTGATTCCTCAATCAACCACTCCCAGCTCCTCCATCGTGAGAGCCTGACATCACCGCAACTGACACACGAACTGTCTGTTTGAACTACTCTTCGGAAACTACCTCGGAGGCTTTCACTTTTTTGTTTTCCAGGCCATTATTTGCCTGTGTTATACCATATTCTTGGCAACGAGTGATGCGACGCGACAGTCGTCATCTTGCTATTGCTTTGCTTCCAGGTTTTCTACTTACCACAACCAAGGCAGATTATTGATTGATTAGGCATTCTGGGAATGTTGCAATCTGACTCCTGACTACATTATACTCTTGACCTGTTATTGAGCTGTACCGCTACAAAGTTTGCCTGCTGAGGTGAGGTAAGTGAGTGCGCAACGGCTGCTGAAACTCACTCTCCGCCCACCGACCTGACCCGCATACGTCTGCCTGACTCAACTCGATTCGATTAAACCTGATTACATGATCCATTTCGACTCCTCCACAATCCAATCTTCAACCTTTCCCCTCCGCCAAACGCTGGTCCCGCGACAGCGACAGCGATAGCGAACACCGACCCTTCACCATGTTTTGGAGATTCGGCGGTTACGCCAACATCTCCACCATCGACACAATCCTCGATAAGCCAGACTTTACCCTCGAGGAGCTACTCGAAGAGACAGACTTGATCCAGGAGCTCAAGCAGCACAACTCAAAGCTCATCGAATACCTCCGAAGCGACAAGGTTCTCGATAGCCTGCTCGAATATGTAGTCGCTCCAAAGCTCGAGACCGTCGAGTCTCCCGACGAGTCCACCGACCAAGAGGCCAAGGCCAAGAACCGCTTCCTCTCTCTCTCGCGACCGCGCGCATCATCCCGCGCCACCGACCCGGGCGAAGATGAGGAGGAGCAGGAGAAGAAGCGCAATCGCTACGCTTTTGTAGCTTGCGAGATTCTTAGCTCCGATACTTGGTCCATCTACGAGGCTTTGGCTGAGAACAGACAATTGATTCGCGATTTTTGGAACTTCTTGTCCCGCCCTGCCCCGCTCGATCCCCTCCAGGCGAGCTACTTCACAAAAGTCAATGAGTCTCTGTTCGAGAAGAAGACCGAGGACATGATGGAATTGTTGACAACTCTTCCCGACGCTGTCCCTAATTTACTCAAGCATGTTGAGTGTCCTATGGTCATGGACCTACTGCTCAAAATCATTGCCCTGGACCGTAATGAGGGTGGCCAGGGTGTGGTCGAGGTGCGAAACTCCCCACTAATCTAATGCATCTGTGCTAACATCATGGCTTTAGTGGTTGTACTCTAAGGACATCATCCCGAGCCTCCTCTCATGCCTCAGCCCTGAGAATAACTGGGTTGTGCAAACCGCCGCAGGCGACTTCATCAAGGCCATCATCACCATCTCTGCCAACGCCTCACAAAATGAGCAACAATGCATCGGCCCTAACGAGCTCACCCGTCAGCTTGTTTCCAAGCCATGCATCGAGCAGCTTATTGGTTACATGCTTGGCGGTGGCAACCCTTTGACTGTTGGTGTTGGTATCATTATTGAAGTGATTCGAAAGAATAACTCCGATTATGATCCCGATATGGGCACAGAGGCGAGCGCTGCGCCTTCCAGCCGTGATCCCATCTACCTGGGCACCCTTCTTCGCATGTTCGCTGAGAATGTCCCCAAGTTCATGAACCTGATTATGGATGTTCCCTCAAAGAAGGAGAAGATCGACTCGACCTTTGGCGTCAAGCTCGAGCCCCTTGGCTTTGACCGGTTTAAGACATGCGAGCTCATGGCCGAGTTGTTACACTGCAGTAACATGGGCTTGTTAAATGAGCCGGGTTCCGAGGAGCTGACAGCTCAGCGTGATATCGAGCGACAACGTCTTCGTACCGAGGGCAAGTTGGCGCCGCTCAAGGAGGAGGACCACTCCACTGACGACTTGACCATGCGAAGCGCTGCACCTGAGGAGAAGAGACGTCTCGAGGTCACTAACGCTGACGACGATGGTTTTGAGGAGGTTGAGCCTAGCAAGGAGATGAGTGAGGATACCTCTCATGAGTTTGTCAAGGCTGAAGACGACATTCCTGGCGCTTCAACAACATCGCTCAGCAAGGATGAGGATGACTTTGTAGATGAGCCGCTCAGTCCTCCTCAAATGGGTGCCAAGGGTGATGAGACACGTTTCGATGATCCAGATTTGATGGTTGCGCCTTTGTCGCCCACAAAGACCAAGACCGCTGAGCCCGCATCTACAGAGTCTGCTAAGGGTGATTCAACAGAGAAGCCCGAAGCTAAGGAGCCCAGCAGCGAAAAGAATGAAGAGACCAAGCCCAAGACGACGCTAGAGGATGCTGTAAAGGATGATACCTCTGACTCTTCAGCTATCCTAACTCCTGCTCCATCCGAGCCAGAGTCCAAGGCTGAGTCTACGGATGCCTCCATCAAGGTTGAGGAGCAGCCTCGAGGTATCTCTCCCCAGCCGGACGATATGCCTGCACCTCTTTTCTCCGCTCCTCCTCCACCGGAATCTGGAGCTGATCGCCCACCACAAGCGGCTGAAAAGGCAGCTGGTGATGCTCAAGCTGCTCAAGCTGAGACCTCTACCACGGAGACAAAGACAGAGGAGGCCAAGGAGGACAAGCCTAAGGAGGAGCAGCCTGCCAGCCAGGCTACGGAGGAGCCCGTTGTCGGAGATTTCCTGAAGCTTCAATTCGTTGAACACCGTGTTGTTCCAACCATTCTTGTAAGTCAGTCATACCCTCCACTGATTGCCATCTGACATAGGCAGAACTTCTTCTTTGCATACCCCTGGAACAACTTTCTGCATAACGTTGTGTACGATATCGTTCAGCAAGTTTTCAACGGTCCGATGGACCGCAGCTACAACCCCACATTGGCCGTTTCACTGTTCGAAGCTGCCGACATCACAAGTGCCATCATCAACGGCCAAAAGGCCAGCGACGAGTCCCAGGCCAAGACCAAGACCCGTATGGGATACATGGGTCATCTTACCCTCATTGCCGAGGAGGTTGTCAAGTTCACCGAGCGCCACCCTCCGGAGCTCCTCTCGGAGACTGTTCTTGACCGAGTCATGAGCCAGGAATGGATCAGCTACGTCGAGGGATCACTTGCCGAGACACGCGAGCGAGATAATGCCATTCTTGGAGGTGTCCGACCAGAGGTAGCTATGGGTAACCGGTCAATGGGTGGCAGTGGGCTTGGCGGTGTCGGCCTTTCTGGCTTGAGCGGAGGCTCTGGCGCTGGTGGTTCCAGTGCACTTGCGGAAGCTGGCCTTAATGGGGGAATAGAGCTCAGTCAGGACAGCGGAAATGGCATCGGCCCTTTCACTATCAGTGGGGCCACATTAATGTCCGGCTTTGGCAGCAGCAGCGATGAGGAGGATGAGGATGGGGACGAAAACGAGGAGGATGTCAATTCCGAGGTGAGTGGTGTTTCCGCTGAAGCTGAAGACGATGGTTCGGATCACGGCATCCCTGGATACCCTGGCATAGCAGAAACACTGGAGGATGTCATCATGCGGTCTCCTGAGACCTTTGCATCGCAATTTCCTGACTTGGATTATCCGGAGGATGTTACGAGGGGGTCCCCTATGGACTTGGACGAAATTGTAGCACACCGTCAGCGCTCATCTCAAGATGAAGAGCAACAGCATGCTGAGCAGGTTGAGGATGTCTCAAAACCAGAAGGCAACCCTTAGGAGGGCGCACCTTACTGGGGAACATTTGATCGTCCACGTACCAGACGAGAGAGGCGAGACAGGCGTCGCCCTGAGATGCTGCAACTTGACGACCTTGAGACCTTCGATGACGTCGAGGTTGAAGAGTTCATGAAGCTGCTGACGACACCGAGGTTTTGAGACATTTATACCAGGCGTTGTGGGATAGAAAGGCGGATGGATGGC